TGAGCCACCATGCCCGGCTAATTTTTTATTTCTATTTTTAGTTGACTTGCTAATTTTTTTCTCTTTTCAGTAGAGACGGAGTCTCACTCTTGCTCAGAGCTGGCCTCGAACTCCTGAGCTCAAGCGATCCTCCTGCCTCAGACTCCCAGAGTGCTAGGATTTCAGGCGTGAGCCACTGCGCCTGGCCTACAGAGACGTTTTATACGTGTAGAGCAGGCTCCCTGCTAGAATTGCTCTGGCCCTTCACACTCTTTAAATTTCATGTGGATTACGGTGGGATGTTAACATGCATTATAATTAAATGTCAGAATCTCATCTTACTCATCTTTGGCTTTCACTAACTGTTCTCCATTCCAGGATATCATGGGCCCCTTGATTTGTATCCAGAATTCTACCGAATTGCTACAGACCCAACCATCCACACTGTCCCAGAAGGCAGACCTGTGAATGTCTGTGTAGGAAAAGAGTGGTATCGGTTTCCCAGCAGCTTCCTTTTGCCTGATAAGTAAGTTGTCCTTTTAATTCTCAGAGTTTTAAATCAAGGAGTAAATATAGCAATTCTGTGGTAGTTTCATCTTAATTTTTATTTCATTTTGGAGTTTTCACAGAAATTTATTGAATCGTTTCCAATTTCAGAGAGCTGTGGGGTCTGTGTTGTGCACCCACCTCCTGTATTCATTCGGTTGAGTGCCATGTGTGTGTATGCTCCTTGCATTGCCCATAACCACAGGCGTCTGGGGACTTCTGAAAATGCTTTGGGCCCTAGGCTAGTGGCTCTTCCCGAGGACTCATATTTACATTTCTGTAACTATCTGATATTAATCCACTTCTAAAAGTGGTCTAGAAACTCTAGCTAGAAGAGTGTTTTTAGAGAAGAAATATTTTCCATCCAACAGTGAAAGTTCTCCACTCATATACAGACATTGGGTAAAGCTACGCTTAAGACATCTGTACCAGTTCCCTTTATGCTGTCTGTTGTTAAATATAATAGCAGAGGCCCTCGAGTGCCTTGTACTTTGCTTACTTTCACCAGAGAAGAGTCCTTTTTAGGTAAAAGGAAAATCTGGTTAAGATGAGTTATGTTGTTCCATTTGAGGACTGGCTTTAGCAACTTAGCTTTACCTGGTGGTAGTATCTTAATGCTTAATAAAAACCCTGTATCAGTCATTAATGATTAAATTAAAACTTGTTTTTTAAGTGTTGACTTTGGCCTTTGCCTCTTACATTTAAATAGTTTTAGAGCTAAAGATATTTTTGAGGCTTACTCAGGAACAAAATTTTTCTCTAGTAGTATGTTCTTAGTACCGTATATTACATTTCACTCTTTTTCTATATAGCTGATGAATTTGCTTTAATTTTGATAAGTCCCTCTGATCGCATGGTAATTGGCAATAAACTTTGACACTTACCTGGTTGTTTGATGTTATGACCACTTGTTTGCAAATTTCTATGCTGAGAGTTGGTGAAATGGGTCGAGAGATCTCTAGTTGTAAATTTCTCAATGATTTTGGACTGATTTGTGACCTCTGCCTCTGTGTTCCCTGGTTGAGGTTTTAGCAGAAATATTTTTTCTTCAAGTGAAATGTTTTTCATGTTCACATGGGGTTTTTTTTGGTTTGTTTCAAGTACATTTAGCAATACAATCCCTCCTGTGTTTTTATTATTCGTCTTATTTGTGTTTCTGACAGTTGGCAGCTTCAGTTCATTCCATCAGAGTTCAGAGGCCAGTTACCAAAACCTTTTGCAGAGGGACCACTGGCCACCCGGATTGTTCCTACCCACATGAATGACCAGAACCTAGAAGAGCCATCCAGATATGTAAGGATTTCACTCCCTTCTTGCTTCTTTGAAAAGAATTCTACCCCTAAAATCTGTTGGCATATACATTAGAGCATTGATAAAATCAGAATTTCTTAGAAAGTGATTTTTTTTTTAGGGTAGGGGATATAAAAATTGTTGTTGAGAAAGAGTGAACAGTATCGCTTTTATTTTCAAATTAACCTCATTCCTTATTTTCTGTGTAACACATATAATTTCATATAATTTCTAAGCTTTTGGGTGGGCTGGAAATTTTCTTGTGGTAGAATTTGAACCATCATTCTGAAACGCATATCATTCCTTGGCCCATTAAAATACTTGGTGGGGAACTTTCAAGTTATCAGGTGGACCTTTGACCTAGCTATTAGTATATTCTGGTTTTAGCAAATGAACAGTCAGTAAAGACTGTTTCCGTAGTGAGTTCCATGAAGCAATCTCTGTCAGTGCCATGATCTTCTACCTACTTGTCTTTACGCACTCTGAGATCCCATGCGAATTTTATTTCAGTTCCTTTGAAAGATGGCACTTTTGACATTTGATACCTATAAAATCTTTGATCATGAAAACAATGAGAGCAATAATGACAGTGGTCCTCTAAGGACCCTCAGGATTCATGAGTGAGATTCTTATTGTATGAGCTTTAGCTATAGGCTGTGAAAATGGACATCTTAAAGACATATCTTTGGTCTCTTGAGAGACGTGGTCTCCTGAGAAGGTAAGATACGCATTTCTACCACATGGCTGTGTTCATTCTTTTAACTTAAGGCTCTAATTCCTGTTACAAGGAAGATACCCCTGGCCAGGGTAAACTGTTATTGGCTGTTTTTATTTTAGGGGCAGATACTCTCCGGAGAGCAGGCTTTAGTATACAGGGATCACCATGGGTACACTGGACAAAAGGGTGAGAGAGGACATACAATAAGGGGTGTTATAAACTCAGAGTGATGTTATCAGGGCTGTGCTCTGGGGAGGGGAAACATGGGGTAGTTAAAAAGAGCCTGGGCTTTGGAGTCAAGGAGACCTGCATTCAGATCATAGCCCTTTGCTTACCTTGATGACCTTGGGCAAATTAGTTAACTTCCCTGCTAAGCTAATTTTAATTTCTGTCTGTAAAACGGTACCTACTCTGGAATTATGAGATTCAATAATACATCTCTCTGTCATATTTAGCATAGTGCCTGGTCCATGGATTTTTCCTACAAATGTTCTTAATCTGATAATGGTATGTCATATGGATTAGAGGTAAAGGAACCCTTGAGGTGATTTTTAATTTGCCTGAATCTATCTCTCCCTCATTACTTGTGTTGTTGCCTGAGCAGGTTATCATTCCAGTCTGTCTAGATTCATCATTGCCTTTTCCACCTAGTGACTTTGCTTATGTTGATGCCTGTGTCTGGACTACCCTCATCTCCCTTCCTAGGCTATCAAAATTCTCTTCCTCTTTGAGTCCAACTATTTAAGTCCATATTGAGCAGTCCATTTATTTTTGTTTTATGTTATTTAAATTTTTTGATTTGTATGTCATATCTTTGCCCATTAGAGGTGTGAATGCTATGAAGAGAATGACTGTACCTTGTTTGTTTTGTATTCACCATAGCATCTAGGATAGTGTCATATACCTACTAGTTAGCCTTTACGTGCTTTCTCAGTGGATAATGAGTATTCATTATTATTGGGATAATGATGTTTAGAGAAAGCTGGCTAGAAAATCTATAGCGGACTTTTGTACATTTCTTAGGCTTTGGTCACTGGTTGTCTCTGGTATTCCATATTCTCTGCTACCACACGTTGTTAAATTTGATTAAGTGACTCTCTATGAGCTTTACCCAAAAGGTGAAGATTTTTCGGGATGCCAATAGGAGTCACTAAAATGCCGGCTGGTAAGAGCAGGAACAAACAAATGAGATGTGTCTGCTGGGTGTGTAGTGTCTGTCACTGTGGCTCTCTCTGTTTCTGAGGTTGAAAGTTTTCCTGCAGAGCTGTCTTTGTATTCTAGTTTCAGTGGATTTTCCTGCATGAGGGAAAGTGCCTTCCAAATCTAGTCCACTCACCTTTGGCCCTTTGGAAAGTAGCAGGGACATTTGATGGCTCACTATTAATTCTGCATGAACTATGATCAGGAATTTATTTCTTTTGCTTAACTGTTTAAAAAGAGATTTGTTTTCTTTTCATGATAAAAGTAATATACATTCATTGTATAAAATAATGAAAGCTATAGACAAAAAAACCCCAAAAAACTATTATCTCATTACCCAAGCACTATTACCATTTTTGTGTTTTTTTCTTTCAATTTTTTCCCCTTGTATATATATGTGTATTTGTATATAAATAAACATCTCAATTATTTTTTAAAAAATTA